TGGTTGGAGAAAAGTCTTCCTCTGCATCACTCTCCCAYACAACATCTTCTTGTGTAAAGTGCTGARTAGTTGAACGATGCACAGWGACTCCATCAGCAGCAAGATGATGTTGTAGGTCTTTGGTGCTGGTCTGTGGGTTGACTCTGACTGTTCTCAACATCCTTCACTTCTGTTTATTGGAGATTTTTCTTGGTCTGCCACTTCAAGCCCTGACTTGAACTGTGCCTGTGGTCTTCCATTTTCTCACAATGTTTCTCATAGTGGAGACTGAAAGCTGAAATCTCTGAGAYAGCTTTCTGTATCCTTCCCCTAAACCATGACGGTGAACAATCTTTGTTTTCAGCTCATTTGAAAGTTGTTTTCAGACTCCCATGCTGCCACTCTTCAGAGAAAACTTAAAGAAGAGAAAAACTTACATTTGCCCCTCTTAAATACCCTTTCTCATAATTGGAGTCACCTGTGTATGGAGGTCAAGGGGAACTTACCAAACCAAATTTGAGTTCCAATAATTAGTTCTAAATGTTTTGAAATCAATAAAATGACAACAGAGTGCAAATTTATGCACCTGCCTAATTTTGTTCAACCAGTTATTGCACACTTTCTGTAAATCATGAACTTCATTTCACTTCTCAAATATCACAGTTTGTCCCCTATATGATATATTTCAACCTGGAGAGACTCACACAAAGACAAACTGAAATTAGGAAGTAAATTTATTGACATGAATGATAGAGTTTGGCGCTCAGACCCCGGCAGCTGATGCGAGCGCTGTGAGATGATGTAAGCCCTGATGAGCTGCTTGAAATGTTTGGTGGACTTACCGGGTTCCTGCCAATACATATGACATAYGCTATTTGCTGATGCATTGAGTTAAATAGGACAACTATCATGTCCCCAATCTCTGCCCGTAGGCAGCTCAGCTGAATCTGTCACTCATTAATGTCAGTTGCATTCAACAGTCGTGCAAAACAGCTATGATAAACATACAGTTTCTAAGTAATGATGATCTAAACCAGAGCTGAAGTCAGTCAATAACTTGGACTTTTTTGGCAAGTTATGACTTCAGCTTTTTCATTTATTTGCAATTAACTTTAACATTTTTGGAATTCATGCGGAGAGAGCTTAATGACAATAATGGTGTGTATTTATTCAACATAAATGTATAACTTCTCTACACACATCTTCACATGTAGTACAGCAATATATTCATATTATTTTATGTGTTTTTCATTTACTTTGTGCCCTTTCCCATAAAATGTGTGTTTTACGAACAAGTATRTTAAAGCTATTTTTTGTATTCTTTATTTGGAAACTTGTGCTTTAGAAGTAAATGCACTATTCTTAACAGAATATTTTTGATAGATAAATCTAAAATATTTAGATTCAAAACACCTTTACTGACAAATATTAGTAATAACACACATGAGTGCTGTAGTGAGGTGCAAATCAATGGAAAAAAACCTGAAGAACATCTTTAAGCCTCCAATTTGTTATTATAAGTGTTTTAAGCCAATGAAATGACATAAAAATGGCCTGTGAGATAAAACACACACAGAGAGAGAGTGTGTGTTCACACAATCTAAGACCAAACAGGTTCCTGTGAAACTGTAGATGTGTTCAAGCTGACAGATTAAATAAACCAGATGATCCACATTTTCTGYAGAAAAGCAGTGTAAATGCTGAGTTCTGAGTGGCTGTTTTATTTCAAAAACAAGCTTGTTAAAGCTAAAAGAAACTAGAAACAGCTAAAATTAAAATAAGTAAAATTAGAAAGTATAAAATACTTTATAAATACTAAAGGAAGCAGCATACTTAAAGGCCAAATGTAGTGAAATATGAGCTAAAGGCTAATAGTACCAAAAGGCTAGCTAAAAGCATCAAAGGCCAACTGAATTTCAAAAGTAACAAAACAGCTATCTACAGCAGAAAATTAATTAAAAGTCAGAGCAGCAAAAGTTTCAAAAAGTTGGCAAAAATCTAAAAGCAGCAGATGGCAAGCTAAAAGTTGCTGAAGACAAAACAAGAGCAAGTAATGGCTTTTAAAGACAAGTTCAAAAGGTTAAAAATATAAAAAATACCAATGCATTTGAAGAAAATAACATATTTATATATTAAACAGTTTAAAAAAATCTGAAGTCAAAGCACTCATCTCCTGTTCGCTGAACATTTTGATTTATGAATGGCTTAAATAGCACAAAGCATGACATGCAAAACGTTAAATCAGCATTCACATAAAGCATGCCAAGATTTCTTGTTTTATAAGACATTGAAATCAAACTTTTATTATTATTTTAGAATGTTTATATTTTACTGACAAAAAGTTTTGTCCRCAAGGAGAAAAACCTCAAGTTTTGGGCCCTGCTCCTTCACCCCTTTCAGTCTGTTCCTTCAGCTGTATCTGCTGCCCACCAGTCCCTCCAGGTGCTTGTTGCTCAAGAAGACTGTTAAGTACCAATTTCCAGTGTCACCTTTATGGGTTTTATTTATTTGTCTGCTCCTTCTTGTGGAACAGAACCCGGGCATCACTCAGGTGGATAGATTATAACTCAGCTGCTACGACTCATCGGTCTTTGAAATTTGACTTCCTGAGCCTCATACAACTGTTACTGTCATATTACCACCCATCATTAGCAAGATCAATGACATCTTAAATGCTTCCCAGTTAAGGATGATCGGTGACAATAAAAAAAAAAGATAAGTTGAAAGTGCCTCCGTGGTGTGAGCGGTGCTGAGCAGTGTGAGGGAGTCTCCCTCTGAAGACCTCGGCTCAAATGAATGAACTTGTACAGTATGTGCAGCGGTCACCCTGCTAAATGTCACATGTTGACTGTTATCGAATGCGCAGGAATTATTCAGCACCAAATGGCTTCATCTCAGATCTAATCAATGTGCTCTCTCAACTCTTTCTTGACGTTATTTTGTGGACTGGAAGCTGAAAAGTTTGGAAACTACTGGTTTGAACCAGCATGAGAACATATTTTATTTCTTTGTGTGTTAATAACCAACTCTCTGGGCTCCACAACTTAAATTTTATTTTATTATTTTTTTATTTTTACAAAAGATCTATCAAGTACACAAATGTAAGTCCAATATAATCTAATAAACCAATCCTTATTAATGATTTTCTAAATTTTACTTACTCTTTCAGGCCCTAAAATGTACACGTATAATTCTTCCTCCAAACAGGTAGGCTGAATATTAGAAACACCTTTCAGAATAATACGGTTAAGATCTGCTCAAATGATGGCTTTGAAAATAAAAATCAGAAGTTGATTCAACATCCACTGAAACAGTTTCAACGCAAGTTAATRTATTAGATTCAATAAAGAAGGATTTATTGCTTTGTTATATTAGGCTGCATCAGTTACCCCTATTGTATCTAATAAACTGGCAGTTGACTACACATTTGCTCACACAAACATATTATTTAAAAAGTAAAAAGTAAAATTTGTAGCTTTTTTGATGTAATAATTCCTCTTTATAGTCCTCTAAATGTTTTATCACCTTCATCAGYGGCTCAGCAAGCGGCACCTAGAGTTACCTCTTAAACCTGTTCTGCATATTGGATATATTGGATTTAGATAAAGGGGGGAACAATACAAGTCTTTTTTTTTTAAATAAAAGTTTGATGAGCTTTGCAAATAGTATTGTTATTGTTATTCATGAACAACATGGGGTTTCTGGGGACGCGGAGGAGGTAGAGCTAATTGCAAACCAACTTAAACACAAGACAATGCACAATAACACCTCTTTCTYATACCGGATACATTAATAATCTTAACTGAATCGCTGGTGTTCAAGCAGTTATTTTACTAAGATGTTATTTATTAAACCCAGGCTGCGATGCTGAACATTAACTTTGCTTTAACAGTTTCCAAAGAGACCAGAAATGACAGGCTCATGGATTAAATGATGCACAAAAATCACTCCTAAAACAATATATTCTGGCTTTAACYATTAAGTATCCATCATGCAGCCTCAGTTCTAAGCAGGGTCATGCCGACATGGATTAGTTGCTCTTTTATATGTACAAGATGAGGCCTTAAAGCATCCTAATAATGTATTAAACAAATATGTTCAGGTTACAAATTTATTTAGGAGCTTTGTTTTTGCTCCAGATTGTCTCTCTTAAATCTCAGCATATAGGTTTGGTGATTTATTAAGTGTCCTTTTTGTTAAAATCATCCATTTGTTATTAACCATGATTAGTATGCATGGTAGACCGCTGATCTGCATTGTGAGCAAGCGGCGTATGTTTAAGCAAGAGGAATAATATATTAAAACAAAAAAAAAAAAAAAAACAACGCCTTCTCTTTCCCCGCAGCTAAAACAAGGCTGCATGAGGGAGAAGATTACAGAGCGAGCTGCAGTGATGAACATTTCCTCCTGTTTCATGTTTAACCCTGCTCATTTCCCACAGTAAGAACTCCGGAAACACACAAGTGTGCGGAGCAGCTTGGGGGGAAGATGACTGATGGCTTGTTGTCATGATGTTTGGGATTCTGCCGACTCCGAGCCTCTCGGCTCACTGAAGCTGTGCAGCTCTGCAGCACATACTACTGGCTATTGTTGAAGAGTCCGTGGTGTTGGAAGGTTTTGCTTCATGTTCACCCTTTTGAGCCACTTAATCAATACAGCTATCTGTTAATGCCCCTGACCGTTTGCAGATTTGTTGGATTTGCAATGATGGTTCACGCACTGTGACAGATTTCATATTGTTCGACAATGATGCAAAGACAATCATTGGAATTTCCTGCTGTGAGTGGATTAATTTGTTTGCTTTGTTTGGATTTCTTGCGACACCCCATGGGTTGTGTGTGGGCTAAGCTAACAGTCACATTTGACACTGCAATATTTCAAAAATAGGCCAATACTTGAAAAAAAGAGCTGACATGCCTTATCAATCACACCCTTCAATCGGTCAATGTGCTTTACTTCTGTCTGCTCTGACCGCGTCTCTTCATTTCATCTTTTCTCTTTGTCCCTCTGTTTTACTACAGCTCCATCACAACGAGCCTGCGCCCCATAAACCAGCCATTCTTGGCCGCCGTCCTCGCCTCTTAGCAGCCGTTACCTGTCCTGTAGGTGGTGGCATTTGTCTGTCAGAGGTGGTCAGTCCTTGTGAGGGTCAAGACACATAATGAAAGAATGGTGTGAGTTCTGTGTAAACCTCAGCTGCAGCGTCATGTCGGCACCGGCAGGCTGAGGGTTCCGTCCAAGCTGAACAGTCAATTCCAGCCACGCTGATCCCAGGACCTTGACTGTGTATTGACACATATCAGAGCATGGAGGCAAAACAAATTAACATCAGTCAATATTCTGTCCTTCCTCCAGCAACCTGACACAGCCTCCCAGAGCGGCCATGTTTACCCTCCACTTGCTGTCAAAACAACCGAGAGCAKCAGGATGAGGAATGCCTCCGAGCTTCAACGGGATATAGTTACAGGCRTTTAAAAGTATTCAAAAAATATGCCAGTTCATTTTTGCAGAAGGCAAAGGTGATAATATTTTAATGTCTGTGTGTTTGTTTCTTTGTCTGTTAACAAAATATCTCATGAACCATGTAGACAAATTTGATTCACCCCCAWTCAAGATGRCTGCCACAGCTGAACAACCTCAGCAAACACAGTCACTTATTATTACAGATATTGGGTTTAATTTGGTGTGTTAGAGGCTGAGACTCATTGAGAACACATCATCTGTGGAGTTCCTCAAGGTTCTGTACTTGGACCTAAGTTATTTATTTTATATGTGTCTGGGTTTTTTACATGTTTTATTTGCAGATGATACTGCATTATTTTGTTTAGATAAAGATATAGAATGGATTTGGAGATGATACAGACAGAATTTGTGAAAATACAAAAATGGTTTAAACTTACCATTACATTTGGATAAAACAAATTATACTATCAAACTATCGATTTAGAGTTGATGGTATTGAGATTTGTAGAGTCGGGGAGGTGAAGATTCTGGGTGATATCACTGATGAAATGCTGACATGGAAATCTCACATAAATTATGTAAAAACAAAAATAGCTAAATCTATTGCAGTGCTGTACAAAGTAAGGGAGTTATTCACTAATAAAGCTCTGTATGTTGTATGATGCAATAATTGTTCCACACTTGATCTATTATATTGAAGTCTGGGGGAAAGCATGCAAAACAATTACAAATCCTATTTTAAATTTACAGAAAAAAGCTGTAAGAATTATCACTAAAAGCTTACAGCAATCCATCAAATACATTATTTTATCAATTGAAAATTTTGAAATTCTATGATTTGGTTTTCTATAACGTTTTACTGTTTATGTATATGGCTCAAAACAACAAATTACATTCTAACATCCAAGTAAATTTTGTTAAGAGAGGTAGTTTTTATTATCTTAAGGGGATGTAAATGTTTGTGAAGACTTGGTTTCATACCAGTTTGAAGGAGTGGTCTACTTTAATCCAGGGAATGGAATGGTCTGGAGGATGATATTAAAAATACCAGACCTGTACATATTTAAGAGAATGATAAAAGCAAGTTTTTTGAAGCAATATGGAAAATCAAAATGTGACTCTACAGAAATTCATGTTTGAGTTGATGTTGTTTTTATTTAGCTTTGTTTTTTGTAAATGACTATTGTTTGAATGTATTCTTGGAATGATAGTGGCAGATATTTTTTCTTCTTTCTGCTGCCTTTCCTTTTATTTGATCTTTGATTTTTTATTTCTATTGTATATAGTTATTTTGTTTTTATTGAAATGAATACGTTGTTAAATGAAATAAAATAAACAATCTGAGCACTAACTAATTTCATAAGATCTGTTTTTAAAACATTGCCATTGGAATCAGCTATCTGTTAGCAAAATATATCATAAACCACCGGATGGGATTGAAAGAAACTCTCAAATTAGTAATTAATAAATATAATTACAACCTTTGGAGTCAATGGCTGCTGCAGCTAATTAAACTTAGCTTGAAAATATCTATGAATCTACCAAATTTACAGATATGAAGCTAAAGTTTGGTGTGGTAGTAGCTGAGAGTCATTCCCAAAACAAACTCAGAGAACTGTACATATAGTGCAAAATTTTGCTTAATATTTAGATATTAACTGTTGGAGTCAAACTTTCCTGACAGGTTTTAATGAAACTGCAGAAAGCAATAATTGGGAAAACATGGAGTCAAGATGACTGCCACAGCTAAAAGGCTTAAGCCAGCACATAAGTTTGACAAGTTTTATTTTATTGTGAAGCCCTTTGTGATGTTATATCTATGTTTAATAAATTTTATTYTGAGCTTGATTTGGTGTGGCATAGCTGCAACTTTTCCCCAACATATACYCAGAGAACTGCGTAGTGCAATATTTGACTTAAAATTTTGGTAATAACTGCTGGAGTCTTGTCTGTCTGTTAGCGAAATATCTCACACACCACAGATGTGAATGAAATTCCTAAAAAGCAATAACTGGCCAACATTTGCTTTTAGTTAGACCATCAAGATGGGCATCGCAGCTAATAGATTTGAGCAAAGTCAGACAGCACTTTGTGATATTATGTCTATGAAAGGTGTTATATTAAAAAATAACTTAAATGTATTCATATTGAGTTGATTTTGGTGTGGTAGTAGCTGAGAGTCATCCTCAACATGCTAACAAAACACACGAAATCTTGCATGACGCATTGCCATTAAGTCATTGCATGATTTTACCAAAATGAGTGTCTTTTCTCATCTTAAGTTTAGTTTCAAATTCTGGCTAGTTAAAT